TTTCCCAAAAAATGCAACATAAATAGACAAACAATTGTAGTGTATAACTATTGCTGATTCCAGCCTTGTTATCAAACAAACGGAGGAGGAAAACACAAAACCAATTTTTACCAAAGGGCCCTGGGGAGCTAAAGAATTGCAGACCACTCAATCTGACTTCCGTGTTGAATAGAAGCTAGTAATAAATAACAAAATTAGTAAACCACAGACACAACTTTTGTGGAAAAAAGCCATGCCACAGAAAAAAATTATCATCTTTTGAAGAAATCAAAGATTATGTGAACATGGGTCAGGGTATTAATACAGTAACTGAATTTCTGAAGTATTTGATGAGGTTCTTTGCTTTCTTTACAGGCACAGTTCTTAATCAAATATGGCAGATCTCTTAGATTAATAACTGCTAAAGTCCATTCATTCAATAGACTTATTTTATTCAATTTTTAAGTGAGTTTGTGACTGTAGCAGTATAAATGTCTGTGCTGGCAGCCAAGCAGTCCACCTCCTCTTCCAGGTCATTACTGAACAATAAAAAGTTCTTGGTAGTTGCAATTAAAATGACTATAAACAGCTGCAGAACAATTCAAGAACACTACCAAGGAAATGAGCTGGCAGGAGAGCTCATTGCAAGTGCAATGACTGTATATGAAGTGTTAGGCCACTCAGTGCATATGCTCAGAGACAAACCCTAAACTCTGTATCACCACTGGAAAAAAAAAATTAAAAAAAATCTTGGAGTCAAATGTGGATAGCTCTTTCAGAATTTTAGCTCAGGGGAAATAAAATGGCATGAATAATAAGGAAGGAACATGAAACATTTATATAGTAGCTTCATGGAGATATCTATTGATATTCCCATACTGTGGAGCAGCAGAGTAACAGAAGTACATGACATTATCTGGGAGGAGAGGTTAAAACAAACACCACATTCTGCAGTCACTGACTCAGGATGTCATTAATTTCAGGTGTATATATGCATTTAAAAGACAAGTCTGTGCAGAGAAAGAGGTCTATGAAGCATGATAATCCTGTTGCAATTTTTGGCTCAAGTGTTCCAGCCCACTGATTGCCAGGAATTAAACTTATCCTTTCTTGTATGTTTTCTCACTAGTATATGTTATTGGCCAGAGCTAGAGATAAGGTTGTCAACAAGAACAATCACTAGTTAGACCCAGTATAGATGTATTTTTTAAATTCAATTTTATTTTAAACTTCTCTAGACAAGTGGATCATTATGCAGGATAAACAACTAAGTTCTTGTTATTCCTAGCTACAATTCTCTGAAGTTATCTCTTGAGACTTTTTTTTTTTTGAGAGGACACACCTTGTTACTCCACAGCATCTATCCTCAGACCCAGGTCCATTTTTTATTTCTCTAGTATGGTGTATTTATCTTGGATCCAAAGTAGTCCAGAAGCTTTATCACTCTAGTTTTACTTCGGCTCTACCTCTGTGGAGACTTCTGATTACAAAAAAATAGTCCAGGGAGCAATCAAATTAATATCCTTCTTCCCGAAACCTAACGTTAGTTTTATCACATGTCTGCTAGGAAGCAGGTACAACATGTAAAATCCAATATAAATGACTGCTCTTAAAAGGCTGCCATCTACCAGGAAGATAAAAATAGATCCAAAAAAGGTAAAAATCACCAAGTTTTAAGAAAAAGTTTTCTTCCAGCTACTGTACAGATGTTTTGACAGGGCCTGCTAAGCCCGCTCTACTTCTTTGCAACATTAAATAAGGTGGAAAACAGGTTCACCTAAACCCAGTTTATGTCTTCCCTGGCCCTCCTACAGGGTGCTGAAAAGGCTGCAGTGAGATGAGCCATCTTTGAAAGTTTCTACACTGACTTTTTTATATCCCCATATATTCTTGCTTTTGTTTAACCAAACTTATGACTTTCTGTATGTCAACAGAAGTGCTGGGCTTCAACGTTGAAATATACTGGTTAAAATCCATAAGCCAAGAGTATGTGGTACCAGCGAAACAGAAATATTCTGATGTACCTGACAAAAAATTTCAACACACCATCCAGCATTCCTGTCTACAGCACACAACAAGGGTTAAGGCTTTTTACAGCAGCTGAAACAGCTAAGAATCACCAGCAAAATTCCTACTGAATCAATAAAGGCAGATAGCAAATCATCTTGATAACATGTCAGACTACAAAGTCAAATCTAAACAGAGCAGAATTGAATCCCCCTTTATTGTCATTTCTTCCCTCTTCTCCCTCCAGCAGGGACAAGCCCTAAGGCTACAAGGCTTTTAAGCTGGCAGGGACAACTCTTGTAGCACTATTTCACTCTTGCTAGCAGAGCCTGGGAAAGCATTTGACATACTTCACTGAACAAACCTGACTGCATAGGGTGACACTTAAAAATTCTGATGCTTGAAGGAAGAGAGGGTGAGGTGAGGTCTGCCTGTCTATGAACAAATAACCTGGTCTTTACCAGAAAGATCTTCCTCAATTAGAAATGCCAGTATAGCATTAACTATAAGAATATTACTATATTGCTCTTTGGTAGGATTAAACTGAATTTGACCAGACTTATTAACCACAAAGGCTTCTACTCTTTTTAAGCAGATCAGTGGGAGGAAAATAAATGGTGCATCCAATAGGCGATGTGCTACCTTTTGCTGCATTTCTTGTATCCAATAGGCAATGTTCTACCTTTTGCTGCATTTCTTGCTCATCTTGGGGGATACGCTAGAGAGTGAGGATGTGGATACCTAAAAGCATATATCGATATCAGTCAATCTCACTTGCTTCCCCTCTCTTCTGCTGTTCCCAGGAGACACATGGAAGCTATATACCTTTAACTTATTTAAGCCAATTGCAACCATCCCAGGTATTCAATAAATAAAATTATATCTAAAAGATGCCTTTTGTTCCCATTGTTTTTTCATGCTGTTTTGTTTACTTGCTTAGAACATTAAATAATAAAACATAACTTTGATTTGAGCTACTGGCTTTGACCTCCAAGAAGACTTATCTGCAACTGTGCTTGAAGGAAACTGTTTCTGAAATTCATCTTTCCATAGCTGTCCCTCCTCTTCCCCAAAGTATTTAATCATCTTTGGGAATTTCTATTTATTAATGTCCTTCAGAACAGAAGTGAAGACAAATTCTGAGATTCTACCAAAAATACTTCAGGAAGCTACAGATGTGGAACTATTTGGCAGATACATATCTTCTCTGATGCCCTTCACCTCGGGTAAAAATTGAGGGGAGGGAATACTTGAGTTCTGCTGCCAAAGATATGGCAACTTGCCTGGGCAGAGTCAGCCCAGTCCCACCCACACATGACACGCTGCTGTACTTCCAGAGTGGAGGGCAGGAGGGGAGTGTGCTTCCACCTCCTCCCCTTCTCTCTCTAATGAAGGCAGGGCCAAAGTCATGTTCTGCTAAAATGAACTCCTGGCAACAGCAGGCAGCAAGCCCCCCTGCTCAGTTAATCACAACACTTGATGGGGAAATGCTTTTTCTTTCACTTTCCTTAGTCCTGTTGCCTCCTACAAAAGGGATCCCAGTGGCTGCAAATGCCTCAGCAGAAGCAGCAGTGTCTAGGGAATAACCACCTAAAAAGAAAATGCTGACCTACACGGGTTAGCCAGATCATTTCTTCCTCTTCAGAAAAATCTCTTCAGTGCAGAGGACCAACTGCTGACCACAGCAAAGAAAGAAAAACAAAGAGAACACCCAGGACAGCTGGCACTTCATTGCCACCAGCAGCAGACAGGCACAGTCCTCTCCTCTGACTGCCAGCAAGTGGAAACCTTTAGTAAGTCATCTGAGGAACACAGCCCTAAGGAAGGGAAATGCTGTGCTCTGTGTACTTCATTTGCTTTCAGTGAGCACACACCAGGTAGTAAATTCAAGCAGCTGTCCATGCATGGGTATGAGTCAGACCTGCAGCTGGCCAGTTCTCTCCTGCCTTGAAACGGAAAAAACACACACCACAAAAGGCCAGAGCAGAGGCCCAGTAACCAGAGAGTGACCAGCTAAACAGCTCAGCTATCACAGCTGGAAACAAAAGCCCAGAGCTTGGCACCCAGTCCAGAGATCAGCATCGATCCACTGCTAGAGATGAGGGAGAAGTGAAAATTGCAATGTACTTAATTTCATATCTAAATTCATACACCCTCAACAAAACTCCAACCAAAAAACCAGACTAAAAAATGCCTTACCAATCAATCAGTTAGCTCAGAGACCTGTCCTTAGCTGATATTTAAGAAGGAAAATTATATCAAATGCAGATTAGCCTAAGAGTAAAATTGGCTCCAACATATATCAAAGGTCAGAACAAACTGTGTAAACCTGTTAGTAATCACTGAGCAAATGTTAGTAAACTATAAGAATTTTCCCACAACAAAGTAGACACCCTCCCAGCAAGTAAAAAAATATTTTGTCTAAGATTGCTTCCTTCTTTATGACAAATGCTGTGAGAAACTATTAGAAGACTACTCCAATCATCACTATGGCAGATCTATATTTCTGTTACTGCAGGTAATTAGAGCAGTGTTATTTAAAGAGAACAGTATTTCTTTGTTTCTGTTCTCTCTTTATTTATTTATTTACCTTTCATTTTAAAAACATTGGGGTAAACCAAAACTGAATAAACTAACTAGAATGGGAATGCCTAATAAAGGCAATCCTTCTTTCTTAAAAAACAAATCTTAAATTATAGATTAAGAAAAGATATGACAATGAAGACTGTGGTTAGACACGGAACATGCAAATACATGCAATTACACACTAAAACAAATGACTTCAGAGATGAATCACTGTAGATTTACTCTTCATGAAAGGAATCATTGCAACAGCATTAAGAAGAATATATGGAAACATTTGGTATAGTACAGTACTCTTGCCGGTCAGTACAAGAAGCCTTAAGTATTTGGCCTAATAAATAATATTATTTTAAGCATCAATTAAGATATATGGAAAGAAAATAACTGAATGCCATAAAAACAGAACTACAAGAAAACAAAAGGTTGCTTACTCTTCTTGACGCAAGTCATTAACGCTCCGATCTAGTGAGATCATATCACTGGCCACCATATTAAACCCAAACTCTTTAATGCTGGCTTGAATGGATTCTTTGTAATCTGGTCCTAAAACATATGGCTTTGCTTCCTCTCCAGGGCCACCAACAACTCCGTGAGGCTCAGGCTCTTTGGGTTCAAAATTACCAAGGACTCCAGGTCGTAAAACAGGATCTGGGTATACAAATGTCTGAGGTTTAAATGTGAGATACTGCCTCTGGATGATGTTCTGCTGTTTGTTATCACCACCATGATGATTTAGTTCATTTTTTGCCTTATTTTTCCTTCGAATGGATTCCAAGTCCACTTCCACACCTTCAACATGAGGCCAAGGTACCACAGGTTTGAACTTCTCATTTCCTAGTCCATGGTCTCCTTTGTTTGGCATGGGTCTGTTGTCTTCTTTGTCATCCTATATACACACACAGAGAAACAGCAGACCATATGAATTGATGACTCTTTATTTACATCCAGTAGTTAATGCACTGAGAGTTGGCACTAAATATATGTTAAGCAAGAGGGGAGAAATCTGTGTTGAGAGGCTCAATGAACACGTTTTACTAAAGCTACTGACTGTTGGAGAACATCACTAGCTGTTGTCCACACTTACCTTGGTGCGTTGGTCCTGGAAATCAATTAATGCCCAAAGCATTCCCAAAGACCAAATACCCGTGCAGGACATGTTAACTTGAATGTGGTTCAAGTTGCACACCAAAGTGATGTGCAAGGCGCACTGACAGAGCATTTTATGAAGGAAAAAGTAGTATGGAGGCCAACAATGCCACAGTCCAGAGCATGGCATCCTTGGGCCCACTCTTGGACACTGGGTGTTTCTGAGGTATGCCTGCTGGTGGCTCAGAACTGTATAAGGTCTCAGTGATTGCTAGATACAGCCTCAAGATGCTCCTGTACTGGGAAAGAGATCTGTGACTACATGCAGTCTGGCATACACATCTGTGGCAGCTGTGAGCCACATATAATCCCCACCCTTCACACTCCACATCTCCCCACCCAACTTGCTCCCACCAAGCATTACTCTCTCTGCTACAACAGCAGTGCAACAGAAATGAGATTCCTACCTGGGGAGGAGTGCTGGGGTTGAAGAGAGTTGCCACAGACACTGGCAGCTTGTTTGAAACAAGCCTCCTTGTTTGAAACAATTTTACAGCACTCCTCCCCGTCTCCCCACTTGATATTTTCAGTGATCAGTGAGGTTGATGAGGTTAGAACAAGGCTGGGTGATTTTGGAAGAAACTAGACAGAAAAGCTCTGAAGTGTCTGAGTGTGAAGTCTCCAGGGTGCAACAGCCCCACCCACAAATGCATTCCAAAACCCAGTCACTGCTTTTTCCTATACTACTGTCCAAGATGATGAAGGCAAACATTGCTGAAAGTTCAGATTTCCTGCTCACATTATTTATTTGTAAGCAGGACAAATGTTAGATCATACTGAAACTTGCAGGAATCAACACACATATTTAGCAATGTCTCACTATCTTTTCATAAATACAGAATCAAAAAGTTGAGATCAGAAGGATGCCACATACTTAAACCTACTGAAGGCAGGTTCACAGTTAGATGCAATTTCTGAGAGGCTTGTCCAGTCATACCCTGAAAACACTCAGTTTCTCTGGACAACCTGTTCCAGTTGCTTGACCCAGCTCACAGGGAAGGTACTTTTCCTCACAACTTGGTAGAAGTTTCTTATGTTGCATCTTGTCCTTTCCGTCTGCACCCGTCAGAAGATTTTATTTTCATTTTCTCTGTAACCTCACTTTTCAGGGTGAAAAGATGCAATTAGATTCCCCATGAGACTTTTCTCTGGCCAAATGCAGTCTCCTTAGCAGGTCTTTTCCAGGTCCTCTGCGTCTGTTAACATCTCCCCTGAGCTGGGGCAGTGTGGGGGGAGGAGAAGCCACAGTGCTCCAGACAGCCAAGCTCTTTCTAGGGTATCCATCCATTATGCATTCTGCCTTTACTGTGACAAGGGCACAATGCTGACTCATGTCCATGTTTAACAAAACTACACTATACTTAACACTATATCACAGTATTTTCCTCACACATCATTCTGCGTAAAAAAATCTTCAGAAATTAAGAAGAAAACCAGTATATTTCTAGGATAACAGTGGGAGTCAGGCTCCAATTCAAAACAAAATTTATTCAAGAAACTTCCTGAGCACTCTGCTTGTTATAGTTTAAACAGGGAAGACATATAACATGGAGAAGTGTTACATTATTATGTTCTTACATCAACATTTTTTGATGAACTCAAAAGCCAGAGTGAGAAAAGGGAAGTATAAGGGCATGTGAAAAGGCACATTTTTCAAGAAGTCGAAGGCTGCCATGGATCTAAATAAAGCCCTGAGAGGACTTTTGAAGAGAGCATAATCTAACACTTACCCTAGAAATCAAAAGGAAGGCTTTGCCACTACTGTCAGAACACTGCTGAGCTCTCAGCTCTTACCAACTCAAATCTTAACTCCTGCTCTGAGTGCAGAAGCAGCTACAGAAGCCAAAAAAATGGTGGGCATCATCAGGAAGGATGCTAAAGAGCATTTTGACTACATAAAATTTTGAAGCATTCATGTATTCAGTAATATGTAGTTCTGGTCTCCATATCTCCATATCTAAAAGGAATTCAAGAAGGTACAGAGAAGGGTAACTAGAATGAAGGAGAAGGTAGATAGGTATCTTGAGATGAAAGACTAGAAAGGCAGCTGGCCTTTCATCTCTAAGGCTCTGCAGTTTGGAGATGTGATGGCTGAGGGGCATACAACTGAAGTTTAAAAAATCATGAAGGTGATGGATAAATTCAATGGAAATCCACTGTTTACCTTGATGGTCCACAGGGAGATGTAAAAGCGCTGGGCAGGGAAGTATCTTCTAAAAACTCAAATTAAATACCCGTGGATGCTGGAAGCATCCAAAGGGAAGGCAGCATAGAAAGAAGCCAGGTTTACACACTGCCATTCTCAGTAACCACACTGGATCACTAGTCCCCATCAGGCAGGAATTTCTTAATCCTCTGGTCTGTGTGGAATTTAATATCCTTTCATTTCATTTCCACTACCTATAAAACAGTTATGAGCTTCCACTTAGCCAATTCTTTGACTGAAACATAACATTTCTGAAAGAAATTTGTTTACTTTCCTGCCATCAGAACTATGACTTATCCATTATTACATTTAGCCTCATTATAACTGTTATGCACAATTTGCATTATTTTGCATTTATTTGTAGTTCCCTTCTACACACTAAATATATTCCGCATTAGTAGGCATAGTATTTCATAAATCAAGAAAATTATACACAAACACATAGGCACACTCATTCACCCCATTCCTCCAATTTTTATGTACTGAGGACAAACAAGATAGAAGGCACTTGTTGTGGGTTAATTCCTGCAAGCAGCTCAGCATGACACAGCTGCTTACTCCTCCCTCCCCATGCCTGGACACAAATCTAAAACATGGCATCATATGAGATGCTATGAAGAAAATTAACTTCATCTCAGCATTTTATGGGATTTAAAAAAAAAGGAAAAAAGAAGAGAAACTAGCAGTGTTTAAGTGCATAGTGCAGACCACAACTCCTGGAGGTTACGCATTTCTCCAGAGATAACTGAGACAAAGGTTTTCCAAATACTGTGTGGAAAAGAAGCAAAGTCAAACCATAATCAAAGCACTCCTCTGGTCATCATATAAGCCACAATGCCTTGGTTAGGAACTTCTAGAGCTTCTTCCCTCTTTTATGAATTATTACTCTACACTCCTTTAAAAAAAAATTAATGACATATCAAAAATGTGAAGTAATTTTTATTAAGTGTTGTTCACTGATTATGGGTTTGGCTTAGGTGAAAGTATTAAACCTAAAGATTCGTACAACAACAAGAGCCAAACTGGAAGGTGTGCACATTAAAAAAAAAAACAAACCCCAACAACCTTTCTAAAGTGGAAAACCAAGATGGTCTGAAAGTTATTTTAAAAACTTCAGAAGAGTTAATAATAGCAAGGTGAAGGGAGGGCTTGGAAGAAGTAAGCACAACATACATTTGGACTCTGCACTTCTAGGTTATCCAAAAATGAGCAGAGAGAAGCAAAAACTGTGAATTCTCTCACATCTGAAGACAAACAACAACAATAAAATCTCATTACATATTTATAAAAAGGACACAGAATGTGGAAAAAAATTGTCTTTTTCTATAGAGATCATTGTCTTTTTCTATAGGGCTGGAGCTAGAACTTGCTATGAGCTTTCTAGCTCCAGTTTAGTGCATGCTTCTTTATTTTTCAGATGTTCTTTTCCCTCCTAAGGGAATTATGCCTCAGTCACTGCAATAGGTGTTTCCAAAACAGTGAGATGATATAAATACCATCACTACCTGACTTGGAAAAAAAAAAAAGGGTTATTCAGTGCAATTATTTTGCAAATTAGGTGCCTTTTTGCGGAAGACAAGAATGCAGTTAAATGTATAGGAAACATAACTGTTTTCCTTTGGAAACATGCTTATAAATTACACCAAGTAAAAGGAAAAACTGGGAGAGGACTTAATAGAGCTGTGAGATCAGTCAGTTGGTAGGAGGGTTGGAGTTGTAGATGGCAATAAAACTGCAAATGTGATAGTTGTGTAATCTGCTTTTCTTCAGTGAACTGGTTCAAGACTGGCAACTCCCTAAAACTTTGTGAAATAATGTCTGAATACAAATTTATGTTAGAAAAGTGGATTTGCTTGATTTCTAAAATGAAAGATTATCATACTGAAAAAAGGTTGCTAATTAAAAGCAATGAGTACAAAAGCAATTTCCTCATCTAGAAAAAATCAGTGATATACAAAAAATTAAAAGGGAAATAATTAAGTAGAATCCAGCAGCATTCTCATTACCCAGGGATGCAAAAGGAAATTAAAAAAAACCTTACATTCTTAGAATATACATGTTCATACCCAGCTCAGTAAAGACAGATACTGCTCATTGCAATATCCTGGTGTTCCTCATGAAAAAACTATAAAAACTGATACAGTTTAATATCCAGTCATCTTTTACCTTTCTTACCTCTTGGCTGAATCTACACTTCTGCAACTACCATGAAACACAAGTACAATGTGTGTTCTTATATCATAAGGAAGGGTTCAAGGACTTTTAACTGAGGACAAATCAATGGCATTCAGAGCTCACCTGATCCCTCTATGCAAAAAAGGAGCATTTTTAATAGCGCTTCTGTCACAGGTACTCTGATACAGACCCACACAACTATCACTTCAGTAAGGATCTCAACATATTTAAAGTATTTTGCTTTGTTTGCATCAACTTAATGCAGTTGATCAAAGTTTATCAGAAGAAAAAAGTCACTTCAGAGAAATGATGCAGAGTCTAGCATTTTCAATTATTTCACTAAACAGGAGGGGGTTGTT